CAATACAATACAATACAATACAATTTTAACAATGCCAGTAGGTGGTTTTGTCCTTAAAACTCTATTAAATGAAAATGGTGGAATAGTGATAGTAAAATATGTATAAATTCTAAAATGTACAATTTAAACTGAATGAAATATATGTGATTGTGGAAGAAACGCATGAAATATATCTGTAACCAATGGATACGCTTTCTACAAGATGTAATGAAAGATGATTTTTTTTGCGTGTTTTCCTTTAATAAAAACAATGAATTTTTTTTTTAAAAAAAGGTTCATCTCAAATAGCACTCTCAAGGGATTTCCCCATGTCCTGTTGTCACCTGGCGAATCCAAAGAAGAGCCTCTGATACACAGTATGTGAGATTTGAATGACAGAGAGATAAAGAAAGAAAATGCGATATGTTTACGTTGCTAAAATAAAGCTTTTAAAGTTTACTGGTAGTCTCCTGCAACGATTGGGTAGCATACCTTGAATTTCAACAAATGATTCCTGATTCTAGAGAAAAGCACTCAGATACCTTACAACAAATCAATGTTTAAGCATCATATTACAGTACATGTTTATATTTGATCTTCTTGGCACCTTCGTCAAGTACCTGATTAGACTAAAATGCTCTTATCTTACAAAAATCAAAAGTCTGTTTTTGTCAGACAATCAATAGCTCCCGTTTTAACATTATTTCTAGAAAGTCTTACTGTTTTGGTGCAGAGTTATTAGTGGAATCAATCTGAGTAATTCTTTTTTGTATGCTTTTTAAATGGCCACCCAAAATAAACCTTATGACGTCAGCAATCAGAATAAGAGAATAGTAGAGTTGGAAAGGACCTTGGAGGCCTTCTAGTCCTACCCCCGGCTCAGACAGGAAACCCTATACAGAATGGGACGTATTGGCTTTCCAATTAAAACTTCCGGTGTTGGAATACCCACAACTTCTGGAGACAAATTGTTCCACTGATTAACTGTCTCACTGTCTGGAAATTTCTCCTTAGTTCTAGGTTGCTTCTCTTACAAGAACTAATTCTCACTGTATCCTATAAGAATTGTAAGTGGGAAAGGAACGAAGTGAATGAGACACATTGCAAAATGTTCTGTCCATTTATCCTAGTTGAGAATGTACTGTGAAAAGTTCTCTACTGTTTCGGTCAATCTTGTCCCCTTCTTAAGCATCGGGTAACTCCTCGGGTTCTCTAAAGATACACGAGAGCGGGATTCAGCCTTGCCATCTCTCTCCTAAAGATTAGCTTGCGTATGACCTGAGTAACATTTCTCTTCTAATTATACAATCTACAAATAAATGCCTTGGAGTTTCCTGAAATCCAGTTAGTGTCCTGGTTACTCTCTATGGCATATCTACTACGTGAAACTCACTATCTCATTGAATATTCAAAGCATTTTCTGGGAACCAAGTACCCCAAGCAGAGATCAAGTGTGGCAGATTATTGTCTCTCAAAAGAGGAAGTTACATTACACCTGTGATAGTGAACCTGTGGCACGCAGAGTCCTCTCTGTGGGCATGTGCACCATCGCCAGTTGCTCTTCCGGTTTCTGGCATGCGCATGCACCCTGGCCAGCTGATCTTCACACATGCCGGAGCCCCGGAAGCCTGAAGACCAGCTGGCCAGTTTGCATGCTGTTTCCAGGGCTCTGGCACACCCGTTCCATTTTGGGCACTCGGTGGCAAAAAGGTTCGCCATCACTGCATTAGATCTTCACACCTTGGGTATGTTTAGGCCATTCACATGGAAACCCAGAGTCTTAAGATTTAGTGAATCAATCCCTGGCATGATCCACAGCAGCTTTCTTAGTTCCATCTCCTCAAAGGAAGACTTTTGAAAATCCTTCTGTTCCGAAATCTCAGCGTCTCAGAAATGCAGCAGCTAAGCTTGTTAAAAATGTCCACTGGGCCAATGGAAGCGGAGTAATAAAGTAATTGTGTACGGGATAGAGAGTTAGTAGCAGATAAAGAGGGTTGGAGAAAGTATTTCCACTTATACTCTGAGTCTCTTTCATAGAAAAAAGCAGGATGTGTAGCACAGCCTTTGTGATAGGCAGGCAAGGTTCAGCATCTGAGTCAGGCAGATTTAGGACTGTGCACACAAATAATTCCTGATCTTCTTCAATGTTCCCTCTAATTTTTTTTTCAGTGTGTGCGGAAAAGTACAGTGTTTTAGCAGCACATTTTCATGCCTGAACACCTGAAATTTATTTTTAACCATAATTGCCATTAGAGCAGATGTTGGGGAGGGGGCAAGGAGGAAAAGGTCCCCTCCCTCTCCCTCTGACCCCCAGGAAGGAAGGAAGGGAGAGGGAAAGGAAATGGGAAAGAAGAAAAAGGAAAGGGAAAGAGAAAGGAAAGGAAAAAAGGAAAGGAAAAAGGAAAGGAAAAAGGAAAGGAAAAAGGAAAGGAAAAAGGAAAGGAAAAAGGAAAGGAAAAAGAAGATAGAAGAAGGACAGAAAGGGAAAGG